ACTAAAGGTTCATAAATGTAGGTATTTGCTAATTTTAATAGCTCTATAAGATAAATACACATAAAATCATTGTTTAGAACTGATTTGTTGATTCCGGGCACGAAAAATGATTTTTTGCGTTTCTCACGCTCTGGACACTTTTGACAAATTTTTGACACTTGTGAGAGAGTAACTTATTGTTACGCTCTAATTACCGAAACAGCCCAGAAAGCGTGTGGAACTAACCTATTGGTTTGCAAGTGAACGTGAGCATTTATGGCTATCACAGTTTTAAAATACATACATATGTATGTGAGTATACAGACATACAGTGCTGGAAAAGTCAATAGAAACAAGGCTGCTGTGGCGCTTAGGCCTTTGTATATTTCTCAATGAGGACCACGGCCAGTTTGGAATTAACTTATCTAGCCTTGTTTCCCATGCACAACAAGGAATATCTATACATCGAAAAAATAAAGGGAGGAAGAAATAGATTATTTTAAAGCTTAGCATTTAAATTTATTTTATTTTTCATGAATAGTTATGGTTACATGTATGTATGTATGTATATTGGGACTGGATATATGAGCAATAAGCTCTCGAATTTCATTCTCAGAATAGAACTCCACAACAAGTCGTTTAGCCGCTATAGCAATCGGCGCAAACGCCGCTCAGCGGGCCCAAAACCCAACTGCTACGATGTGGAATGCCACGGAGCTGTAGATAAAAAAGATGCCGCCTACAGAGCCACGCTGTGATCGGACGCAAATTGAGCTATGTGGGGCTGATATAAGTTTTCGTAGGAAAAAGAGAAGTGCCCAAATATATGTGAGTGCGAAGAGCTTAAAATTTTGGCCGACAGGAAAATCTAGCGAAAATTTTATGAAAGATTTCAAGACCAGAACGAACTCCTTTAAGAACGGCCACTGCGTCATAGTGAACGATGTCCAGAATGTATTTACTTTAATTACGAAGGGAACACTTTTCCATCCCATCGAATTGTAACAGCACTAAAATTAGTGGAGAAGCAGAGCCCGAGCTCACCGTCGATGACGACGGAAGCGATGTTCCAAGACCAGACTATGACGAGGTACGAATAACAAAGCTGCTATTTAGGTACGGCGACGAGGATAGGGTGCATGTTAAATGAACCTGTGCGCGACGACTGGAATTTAAGTGTGCTCTGCGCAATCCAAGCATCGGATACAAGACCTTATCGATCGTATTGTGTGAAAGACCGTCAACCAACTATAGTGTGGCCTTATACTGTGGTTTTATTCAACATGCGACAAATTTTGGCAAACACTCGCGGGAATAGGATTAATACATCGAAATAAGTTGCCTTTAAGCCGCAATGTCCGAATTCCGCGAAACTAATAAGGCGCCGTAAAATGGCTCCGTCAGAATTGGGAAGGACCTCTTCGAGCCATTTTATACCAAAGGAAATTTTATACAATGTGACTCGATAAGTGGTTGTAATGCCATATAAGAAGAGAAAATTGTAGAAAAATACATATGTAAACTACTGATTTTTTTTTGTCGGCCGTTGTGGTGTAGTGGTAAGCAGTGCGCGCTTCCAATCCGCAGCACCTGGGTTTAAGCCCTGGTCAAAGCAATATCGCAAAAAATTTAGAAAAACGGTTTTTCTTAACAGCGGTCGTCCCTCGGCAGGCAATGGCAAACCTCCGAGTGTATTTCTGCCATGAAAAACAGCTTCTCATAAAAATACAATCGCCGTTCGGAGTCGGCGTAAAACTGTAGGTCCCTCCACTTTGTGTGACAACATCAAGGCGCACGCCACAAATCGGAGGAGCAGCTCGGCCAAACACTAACATATGTGTAAGCCCCAATCTATTATTATTATTAAACTACTGATTTTTATATAAAATATTTCGATCTACAACGATTTTATTCTTTAATGTGCTTTTATTTTTAACCGAATTCATAACCGCATAATTTTAGAAGATGATATGGGTTCCGGCACACTGTAGCATTAATCGGAATTGTATGGCCGATGAGCTGGCGCGACTTGGCAGCAAACTCCCTATTGAGGATATAAATGATGAAATAGGAATTCCCTTACAAACTTGCAAGCAACTTATTTCCCTCTAAATTAGCGAACGAAAGATCGAATGACGAAATCCCCTGCAAAACAACCAGGAAATTGTGACCGGTGCTTAGCGCTAAACCCACTGGCCTATGTAATACTGAGCTTAAATAAACAGAATATCCTTTTGTTAGTATCTGTTATAAAAGGGCACTGCTTAATTGACAAGCATACCTATCGAATTTGCGTACGATTACATGACTTTTGTAGAAGTTGTCAAGATGAAAAAGAGGAAGAAACGATTCTGCACCTGTTGTGCCAGTGCTCTGCACTATCCAGACGAATACTCTCCATTCTGGGTAGGCAACTCTTCGATAACTGAGGGCCTTAGATTCGTGGAAATGAGGGATCTACTGAAATCCCTGCGAAATTAAAAATGGTTTTAGGATGGATAGGGAGTTGCTGACCCTACATGCGGCATCGCAATGGGCATTGAGTGTAAGTGTGTGTCATAGACGACCGCGATAACCTAACCTTACTTTGGACTACTCGAACCGATTTCGATAATTCTTTTTTTCAGAAAGGTGGTACCTTAACAAGGGTAGGCCGATGCTAATTTCGTTTAGATCTAAACAGTGGATCTTGAAGATTTCATCGGTACTCCTAAATTTGTATGAGTTTGAAGGCGGTTGTGTTTTGCTTAAAATTATTTAACATAAATAAGTGTTGAACGTAAAATCAAAAAGTTACAGTTTTGCTTTGTTTCCTATTATTTCTTTCACTACTGCCTATATGAGTATGTACATATATACATAAGTATATACCAAAGTGCTACTGCCTGTCTGTATGTATATCTACTTGCACACTTTGCGATTTTCACGTTCTCTTCATTTTCACACTCTGCCTCTTCCCTGTTCACTTTGAGGTTAATATGCATTACAATTTACAATTTTTGCAATAAACAATCTAGACGTTTAAAGGTATTATCTATAGTAAAATAAAAAAAATATACATATGTAATTTTTTTTTCCAATTGTTGCTAACTTGTACGAGTTGGTATTCATTTTATGTGACTTTCTAAACAAAACGGGACGAATGAAGTTCAAGTACACACAATAATTCAATTATGCAATTTTCTACACTTGTTTTTACTTATGTAGCACCTAACGAAATTCATTGCACTGTCTATACTATATTTTTATTTATGGTCATCATTTCTGCTACTTACCTTTCGTTCTTCATATTGATCCGACGACTGCTTTGGGTAAGTAGACGGCTGTAGCTTGAGTAACTGTTATTCACACCACTTTTGCAAAATAATTTCGTTTTTCGAAATGGTAGCGCCGATTTGTTGTTGTGAATCAAGCACGCACCAATTTTTCCAACTGCAAAATCAAGCAAAATAAACCGAGTTTTAGTAACACAACTAAGTACGATATCTGCAAATGATCTAAACAACTAAAAAATTGCATCACTCCATTCAATACCTCTTTCTCGTTGTACGATATCATACACTCCCGTTCCGTTTTTGGGCTTTTTTTTTTTTTACCTTTTAAACAGATCAATAACGTCAAAGCAGCGTGACGTCTGCTATGTTTTTTTTTGCAAAACGCCCAAAGTTTTGCACAATGAATTTCTTTCTTCAAAGATACGACGACGCGTTGTCCCGTAGCTTCTTAGCTCCACTAACTGACCACCACTGACAGATCCGTTGTGATCGCTTCGTTGTAAATGCAACAAACATATATGTCTTTATATACCAGCACGTTTTAGCTAGCCATTATCAACTCGTTCATGCCTACCAACACGCTTGCATATCTATTCAGCCAAACCAATATGTATCCATTTCTCACCAGCTGGGGGATATGCTGCCAGTACGCATGCATCGAGAGCAGTGTTGCCACAAGTTGGATTTTCCGACCAAATTTGGTCGCTTCTTTTTCATTTGGTAGGCAAAGTAAGATTTTGGTCGGGTAGTTGAATTCAGTTTTTAAATTCTTAATTATAAAAATATATATTTCAAACATCACTTTACATATAAATATTTGCCCATTGTACCTTTTAACCTGCTTGGTTTGGCTACCCTGCAAAAATCGCGACTACTCCATGCATGCGTGTAAAGAGTACTCCCAAAGGACCAAAGAGTACTCCAAAATTAACCACAATTCATATAAAAAATATGGTCCAATTAACATTGCGATGTCCTAGGGCAGGACCATATACTCCATCCCTGCATTACATCAGAGTAGCACAAAACTACTCCAACATATTAACAATGGGCATTGTTGTTATATTTTTTCGTTTGTACACGCTTTTGTTCTTCACTTCTCAAATGCTTTTTCGAAATTAATAAAAACCAAGACAAAAATTAAAAATTACATGTTGCCTCTGACGGTATTCGAACCCGAACATGCTGGGAGCTAAGAACTAACAGCGAGCATCTCTACACGTTCAGCTACAGCCAGACATGCAAATGTGCTTTCAAATGCTCAACTTCAATCACGTTTCGTTAAAACACGAGCAGTGATCGGATAACAAACAATAAGCTGGCGCAGAGACACGAGTTGGTCCGCTACAGCATGACAGAGGAACACTTTTGTAAGTACTCCAATTTACCACAAATAGAGTACATGGTCCAACGATTTTTGCAGGGTACTGATGAAGCCAGAGTTATGGCTGGAGACTTGGGCTGGTTGAAAACATTATTGACCGATTTATTCATATAAAGTGCACTTCACCTTTGCTCAAGCTACGCTTGTAAAATTGCCGAAAGCATTAAGACACTGTGCCGCAACATATCGCCGCCTGGGTAAAAGATTGTATGTACATATGTAAATGTTTTGCATTCGAAACATTTAATCTTAAATAAATTAATTGTATGCTTTCAGAATGTTTCTTGTAAATAAAATTTGTTTGTTAGGTTGTAAACGATTTTGGTCGGATTTGGGAAGAAAGTTGGTAGGGAAAAAAATTGTTAGTGGCAACGCTGATCGAGAGAGCAGCGCTGAAGGTTGGTTAATTCAATTACATGTGTTTAGCAGTAAAGGTGCAGATGTATTAGTGAGCAAATCTCTATATCGAATATTTAGTATTTTGTATCGTTGTTTCTAGCAGTGAGAAATGCCTCACGATGCTTGATTTAAAATACATCACCGGCAGGAAAATATTGTGGCGAACAGGTGAGCAATTCTTTGTACATACATAATGTGGAAAAATCAGATTTTTAGATTTCAAAGTGAGGACTCGAAAATAAAATATCTGGATTACCATTCGAAAACCCAGGCTTAATTAAAGTGCTTAAAAATACAGTCCTCTCCAGAGTTTACTACCAGGATTTGTCGTGGGAGGAAACTCCATCGCCGAGTACTGTATTTCACCCCACTGGACGAACGCCTCGCCACAATCCGCAGAAGAGCAAGGTTCTTCAGAATCTTGCTGATGTGCCTCAAGCCCCGATGGAATATAAGTACGAGGTGTCTAAGAATAGCTTCTGTGAGCGCTTGAACCCGCCATGATACCAAACTGTTGCTTTGCGACTTCAATGCCAGGGTGGGCAAGGAAGGGATCGTTGGAACCACCGTCTGAAAATTCAGCCTCTACGACGAAACGTCCGACCACGAACTGAGGCTGATCGACATTTCCGGGGCCCGAAGCATAAAAAGGTCTATCAAGCCACGTGGCTGTCTCCAGATCGAAAAACGAGAAACGAAATCGATATTGTTGTGATAGACGGAAGGCTCACTTCCAGTGTTTTAGACGTACGTACACTCCTAGACCCAAACATCGACTTCGATCCCTATCTTGTTACAAATGTGCGCCCAAAAATGCAACGTCGAAAATCTGCAGTCACAACAGACGGCCAATTCATTCGCTACACGACTTTCACACCTGTTCTCAGAGAACATTCCTCCAAAAAACGAACTATGCGAGCAGTACAACAACATTTATGTACCGCCGCCGAAGAAGTAGTCGGATTTCAGCAAGCCCGAAAGAACCCCTGGTACGATGAGGAGTGTCCAGAAGCTTCAGAAAATAAATATGCCGTCTACAGGGCTACGCTGCGATCAGGTCCAATGCGAGCTTTGTGGGACCTCTATAGAGCAGTGAGGAGGAAAGCGGACGTATTTGCGGCAGTAAGAACAGAGAGGCCGAAATACGTGAAGACCTTGAAAAATAACAAAGCTGCTGGAGCTGACAGCCTGCCATCTGAGCTATTCCAGTACGGCTGCGAGCAGGTGATAAGGTGCATGCATCAGCTCTTATGCAGAATATGGTCTGATAAGAGCATGCCCATCGAATGGTCAGCCTTCTAAACATACATTACAAGGAGCGTATGGAGCGTATTGTGTGAAAGACCAAAGCTCACCGTAAACGAACTGATTGGACCTTATCAGTGTGGCTTTAGACCTGGAAAATCCACCATAGATCAGGTATTAACAATACGCAAATCTAGGGAGGACCCGGGAGGATAGGATCGACACAAATCATCTATTTGTCGATTTTAAACCCGCTTTCGCCTTTATGCCGCGAGGTCTGAATTTGGTATCCCCGCGAAACTAATACGGTTGAGTTCCATCAGAATTGAGAAAGATTTCTCCGAGCCGTTTGCTACCAAACGGGGTCTCAGACAGGGCTACTCTCTTTCACGTAATTTATTTAATCTGATGTTGGAAAAGATAATAAGAGCCGCAGAATTGACCACTCAGGGACAATACTTCACAAGCGTACAATTTCTGGCGTATGCCGATGACATCGACATAATCGGTAATAAGAACAGCAAAGTCTCTTCTGCCTTTTCCAAGTTGGGCAGGGAAGCAAAGCGATTGGGTCTGTTGGTCAACGAGGACGAAACGAGGAATCTCCTGTTATCAAACAAACAGTCAGAGCATTCGCGCCTTGGCACCGACGTCCCTGTTGAAAGCTAATATTTCGCGAAAGTAGAGAATTTATTTACTTGGGAACCAGAATTAACACCAATAACAATTTCAGCATCGAAATCCAATACAGAATCACTCTTGCCAACAAGTGCATGTTGCAGAAGCTAGGACATGACAAATTCCGATGAAGCTTTGATTTATATGGAAAAATAGCAAAAGATTTACTTGAAAAACATTGCGAATATGTAAATAAAAAGTGACAAACCCAATTATTACGTATTAAACACTGTCCTGGAGGCCGGATTTATCGGTCCAACGGACTCACTGGAATCATCACATGCTATACTAATTGACAATTAGGCTTGCTGAAGCGCTTTGTATCTCAGCAACTTAGTGAGCATAGGAAGTCGGCATCTTTAAGGGCTTTTGATGGTTTTAAAACCTATCTGTGAGGATACCATCAAACTCACAGAAATTATCCTTCCATAAGCACTACAAGGTAATTTCTGAATGGGTACACTTGCAGAATTTATACTTGCATTAAAAGCCCTGGACTCTTTCAAAACTACATCTAGGCTTATGGACAATGGCAAAACTCTACCAACTACTAAAGCACGTATGTATATTTGGTCGTTATTAGAGAGAGTTTCACTCAATAAAGGTATGTTCCAGCTGATTTTCGTTATTGGTGTTTCCGACAGGACAGGAGTACGACAACCGATTTGTTTTTCAAACCAAATTTGATAAGGGATGACGGAAACTCATTTCACAATATACATACATATGTAGGTGTGTTCCAGAATTATAAAAAAGTTCACAGAACACTCAGAAAATTTTTTTGAAATGGGGGTACATATGTCTTAGAGATGGACACAGGACTAAATATTTAATCCCGATTCCGCCCATTCCGAAATTTAATTTCTAAGTCCCGAACCCGGCCATCCCGACGTTTTTCAGAATTGTATCGGGGGCCCCGAAATCTATCACTAAAAAAAATTCACATATCTTTCAAATCGATTTCAAATTAAAAAATAATAATAAAAATTATGAAATATGTGGCATCATAATTTTGTTTTGTTTTGCTGTTCGTTTTCGTCTCAATAAAACATAAAAAAGTGCATATTTCATTCAACGTTTTTAAGGAAAATTTTCTGAATTTGCGGATAGGGTTGCCAGATTTTTTATGCGCGAAATCAGTACATTAGACTTTTTCATGCAAAAAAAAATCAGTACTTTTTAGTACATTTTTATTCAAATCAAAATTATGAATATAAGTATCAGATAATACTTTAAAACGCCAGAGTAGTTGTTTTCAACAATATTTTGGTATATAAATAAAATATAGTTCATAAGATAAGTGTTATTCATTTTAACATGAGTGTACACATAATTATATTTACGACATTTTTGAATAGCAATAATGAGACCATTTCCATCTTCAGTGTATAAATAGTCAAAGAATTCTATATATTTCAATTTAAAGTTACTTTTAATATGCAGTTCGCTTT